ACAATATGGCGCTGAGAAGGGAGAAACAGCCTCTACACAGCTGCCTCCAGTTCAACCAATAAACTGTAGGACCTGCTCCTGATTGGAGGAGAGCAGCGTACTCAGCGTGTGGGTAGCAGAGTTGGGATTGGTGGAAGAGGACTATAAAGGAGGAGAGAGACAACATGCACCAGGAACATCTAAGGGGAACATCTAAGGGGAACACCTGTGCAGCCCCCGAGAGAGCCGGCCGGCGGTGTGCCGCTCCCCTGCGGAAGTGGGGAAAGTGGCCAGGGGGAACCGCCCTTCCACGGAGGTGGAAGGGACAGTAGCCAACCCGGGAAGAACCAGCAGCAAACCCAGGGAGGGCCGAGCAGACGAAAGAACAGCGCAGGGTCTTGTGTCGTTCCTCCATGAAGACGGGGAGCGACATATATCAAAGTTTATAATTTTCAATTTAGCCATCAAAAGTCAAACTGAATCTACATGCAATCCACACTCGATTTCATAGATTCCCAGGTCTCCATCATTGGAGCAAAATTTTAACTAACAAAAACTCAGTGTATTTTTTTCTTCCCAAATTGAAGAAAGATACATCTGCACATGGATTATGTGCTGATGAATAGACCTGAATTTACCTGTTTCTTTTAAGGTAGTTGTAATCTTTCAAATATTTATTTTCTAATTTATTTATTTTCATTCCATTTAAAAGACAGAGACAGGCAGACACAAACAGATATTTTATCTGCTGTGTTTTGCTTTACTAGGTATTCACTAACACTTGTTAATTAGATTTTTTAACGCTTGCCTTTAAGGGTATGAGGAGGTATTTCACAATAGTTTAATTTTTTTTTTTTCATTTGAGAGACAGACAGTGAGAGATCTCCTATCTGCTGCTTTATTGCACCAAATGCCTGCAAAAGCCAGGGCTGGGCCGGGCCTAAGCCAGGAGCCAAGAACTCCATCCAGGTCTCCCACATGGGTGGTAGGAACCCAACTACTTTAGCCATCACTGATACCTCCCAGGGTCTGTATTGGCAGGAAGGTGGAATTGGGAGTTGGAGCCAGGAATCAAACCCAGGCCGTCTGATACTGGATGCAGGCTTCCTAACCCAGTGTTTTAATTGCTAGGCTAAAGTCTTTCTCTGCAAAGTGTATTTTCTATGATCACTAAGTAGGAGTTGAGAGTCTCTTTATAGGTTTATTGAATTTTTTCCTTTTTAAAAATTGACCTTCTATCCTTTGCCCATTTTTCTAGAGTTATGTGTCATTGATCTATAGTTTTTTAAAAATATTCTGGTATGTATGTAAAAATGCATTCATTAAATAAAAAAATTAAAAAATAAAAAAATTCTGGATTCTGATAATTTTGTCTACTGTATCATAAACATCTTCTGTTGCATACATTTTACCTTTGTCTCACTGAGTTTTCTGTAATTCCTTTATAGTTTTTGCTTTCTGGATCTACATAAGAAATCCTTCCTAAAGATATGAATGACATTTTTTTTCCAATAGTTTTGACTTTTATTTTTCACAAATAGGTCTTTAATCACCTGGAGTTCATTTTTGTTTAAGATGTGAGGTAGGGTCTGGTGCCGCGGCTCACTAGGCTAATCATCCACCTTGTGGCGCCAGCACACCGGGTTCTAGTCCCGGTTGGGGCGCCGGATTCTGTCCCGGTTGCCCCTCTTCCAGGCCAGCTCTCTGCTGTGGCCCGGGAGTGCAGTGGAGGATGGCCCAAGTCCTTGGGCCCTGCACCCCATGGGAGACCAGGAGAAGTACCTGGCTCCTGCCTTGGGATCAGCATGGTGCACCAGCCACGGCAGCCATTGGAGGGTGAACCAATGGCAAAAGGAAGACCTTTCTCTCTGTCTTTCTCTCTCACTGTCCACTCTGCCTGTCAAAAAAAAAAAAAAAAAAAAAGATGTGAGGTAGTTATCTAATTTTTTCCCTACATAAATAGCCAACAACAGCCTTTCTCCAACTATTTACACTACTTATATTTCATGCTTCCATATATTTGTATGCATAGACAAAGGTGCTTTAAAAAGTTTGTGAGAAAGAATAAAATAAGAGTTTATTTTGGGCCGGCGCCGTAATTCAATAGGCTAATCCTCTGACTGCGGTGCTGACACCCCAAGTTCTAGTACCGGTCGGGGGGCTGGACTCTGTCCAAGTTGCCCCTCTTCCAGTCCAGCTCTCTGCTGTGGCCCAGGAGTGCAGTGGAGGATGGCCCAAGTGCTTGGGCCCTGCACCCCATGGGAGACCAGGAGAAGCTCCTGTTTCCTGGCTTTGGATCAGCACGGTGCACCAGGCGCAGCGTGCCAACCACAGCGGACACTGAGGGGTGAACCAACGGAAAAGGAAGACCTTTCTCTCTTTCTCTCTCTCTCTCTCTCTTACTGTCAACTCTGCCTGTCAAAAAATAAAAAATAAAAAATAGTTTATTTTGGTGCTAAAATTTTTTGAAATATAGATCCAATGCTGTGCTACAGCAGGTTAACCTGCTACTTGCAACACAGCGCCTCATATCCAAGGGCTGGTGGCTGCTCCACTTTAAACCCAGCTCCCTGATACAGCACCTGGGAAAGCAGAGGATGATGGCTCAAGAGCTTGGGACCCAGATAGAGTTCTAGGCTCCTGGCTTTGGCCTAGCCTGGCTCTGCCTATTGTAGCCATTTGGAGAGTGAACCAGTGAGTGGAAGATCTTTATTTCGCTGCCTCTCCCTTTTTCTGTTAGTCTTTCAAATAATTACATAAATCTTCAAAGTTAAAATACGTATGCATAATTTTTCATAATATGTATTAATATGCATAATTTTCCTAATATGTATTTTCTATGAACCTTTTGAAGTACAAGTGTATCAATTTAGGAATTCTAATCTTCTATTACCCTATTTCGTAGATGGGAGGCCACTCAAGCCACCGCTCTCTGTGGTGCCGGGCTTGGTGTCAGCAGTGCTGAGGTCGGGGGTGGCTAGCGGCTTCACTGCTGCAATGAAAGTGACTGGGGCCCACTGCCGCAGCTGCAGCCCCTCCAGGTCTCTGAGGGTCACTGGGCCTGCTATGCTACTGGAACTGCTGGGGGCTCTCCAGGTTCCACTCCTCTCCTGCTGAAATCAGACATAACCATTGCCGAACTCCCCAAGTACAGATGTGATTATTCTTTAACTTATGGAAATTTAGGTTGTCTTCAGTTGTTCATTGTTACAAGGAATGCTGCAAAACAGACCTGTGTGTAATTCAGGAGAGATTACTGGAGGAAGAACTGCTATAGCAAGGGCATCCAGGCAGTTTTTTGTTTTGTTTTCTTTTGTTTTTTTTGACAGGCAGAGTGGATAGTGAGAGAGAGAGACAGAGAGAAAGGTCTTCCTTTTTGACGTTGGTTCACCCTCCAATGCTGGCATGGCCGTCGAGCTGCGGCCGGCACATCGCGCTGATCTGAAGCCAGGAGCCAGGTGCTTCTCCTGGTCTCCCATGCGGGTGCAGAGCCCAAGCACTTGGGCCATCCTCCACTGCACTCCCGAACACAGCAGAGAGCTGGCCTGGAAGAGCAACAACCAGGACAGAATCTGGCACCCCCACCGGGACTAGAACCCATTGCGCCGGCGCAGCAAGGCGGAGGATTAGCCTATTGAGCCGCGGTGCCGGCCTCAGGCAGTTTTCAAATAGGAAATGACTGTTGATTGGCGTTCAGAAGTGCCTGCAGTGGAACAGGTGACCAAACAAGGACTGATTACAGTATGAAGGGAGCTCAGGCTAGAGGTAGGGTATGTGCAGGAGTGGGGAGAATGAGGATAATCTGATTGATTGCAAGTTGAAATCATTAAAAGATCAGAAAATGGCAGTGACCCCAGGAGTTGATTAAGCATTCCAGAATCCCTACAAAATATGAGGTTTAAAAATAGTATCTCATCTGGAAGGAAATGCAGTTACGCCTAGGTCAAGTGGAAGGATTTCATACTGGAGAGAGACTTTTTATCATACACCCATTAGCACTGTTGGTTCTTTGCTTGTTACTTGTACCTGTTACACTATTTTAACATTGTTTACCAAAGAACCACTTCTCAATTTTACTTCGTTTCTTTCATGTTTCACAGTGATATTAGGGTCACTCAAACGGGTCACAGGAAAATTTCCCTCTTGCATATCAAATGAACCTGCTCATTCCTGGCCCTTAACCACACTGTTCCTGTGGGCACATACACAAGTCAAGGGGACAGGAACAGCTGGGCACTCATGGGAGAGCAATTCTGAGTACACCATGCTTTCAAGCCCATTTTTCTAGACAGTGGTTTTCAGAGTCCGGCTGCTTCCGGAGCGCCATGGAAAGGTGTTCACAACTCAGACTGCTGCTTGCAGATTCACAGCCCAGATGGATTAAATCGGATAGGGCCAGAAAGTTGCATCTCTAACGAGTTCCCTGCTCTTGCTACTGTGGGGCTGGTGCACGGTGGATGAGCAGCTGCTCTCCAGCCTAAATGTGCAGAGAAATCACTCAGGGCAGGAGGTCTTGTCAAAACGCAGGGTCTGCTTCAGCGGGTTGGGGCGAGGCCTGATGTCTGCTTCCCTAACCAGCTTCCTACAGCGCTGTTGTCTCTCAGATGTATGCATCAAGGAGCCACGGGGGAAAGAACAAGGGCCAAGGGGACGCCCTCTCAGGAAGACAGGTGCAGGTAGCACAGCAGACGGCTCACCTGGCGGCAGGAAGAGCGTGGCGCGCACCCGGCCCGCGCGCACCGGCTGGCGCCGCACCCCCGGCGGCAGGAAGCGGCGCTCCAGCAGCGCGCGGGCCAGGAGCTGCCCGGGCTCCGGGGCGTGGCCGTCCAGCACCTCCAGCTCCACGGCCAGCGGCGTCTGCACGTCCCGCTTGGTCAGACGCCAAAAGGGCCTGTCGGGCTGCAGGGCCCAGAGGAGCCCCATGGGCTCGAGCCCCGCGAAGCTGCCGCCCAGCGCGGGCGCGCGCGCCAGGTCCAGCTGGCCGCCGGCGTCGGCGCAGTAGCGCGCGTGGGCCCGGAAGAGCGCGCCCTTCTCGTCGCGCAGGGACGCGCGCAGCGTGACCGGCTGCTCGGGGGCCAGGCCGCGCACGGCGATGCGCACCGGCTCGTCCCAGCAGCAGGGGCCCGCGGGCTCCACGCTCACCGACGCCGCCATTCTAATTTGGAGGTAAGGGGGAGACTACTTTTAGGAGTCCCGTCTGCCCCTGCAGGCCCGCCTCCTAGCGACGCAACGGTGGGCAGAATCCCTCGCGGGCCTCTCATTGGCTGCCCGCTGCAGGCTGGGCCTGGCTCCAGACTTCGCGGGGCGCTCCAGAGCGCTATGCTCAGAACCCGGCTGATAATAGGAGGCGAAGTCCAATGTGTAGCAGTCGAGGTGAGGTGGAAAGGCCCCCGAAGCCACCAGACTGAAGGGAACACAGTTCCAGGAATTTGGATTGAGGACGAATTCTGCTTGAGAAGTACGCATCCCTCCTCAGGATGCCTGGGTAGGAGTCCCGGGCTTCTGCTTCCAGTTTCCTGCTAACCCAGACCCTGGGGTGCAGCAGGTGATCGCTGAAGTGCCTGAGTCCCTGCTGCCCACCTGAGGGACCTGGATGGAGTTCCGGGCTTCTGACTTAGCCTGGTGCGCACCTGCTGGTGCAGTCACTCCGGGAGTGAATCAGTGGATCTGGAAGATTGATCCTCCCTCCCTCTCCCTCTCTTCTTCCCCCTTGTTTTCCCTATCACTCTGCCTTTCAAATAAGTCACTCTTAAAACCTTTTAAAATATATATATATTTTAAAGGCGGGGTCGGGGGAGATCTCCCATCCACTGATTCACTCTAAATATCCACAATAGCCCGGGCAGAGCAGACTGAAGGGAGAAGTGCCGAACTCCATCCGGGTCTCGCACATGGGTAGCAGAGGCCCAAGCACTTGTCCCATCCTTTGCTTTCCAGACATTAGCAGGGAGCTGGGTTGGAAGTATCAGACTTTCACTCCTAGGTGGGATGCCGGTGTTGCAAGTGTTGGCTTAACCTGCTGCTGTGCCAAAAGGCCGGCCCTGAACATTTTTTCAGATAAAATGTATCCCAGGTGCTTGCCATTCAGGCGATCCCCTGAGGACGTGGTCAGGTCCTTCCCTCTTTTCCCCCTCAGTCCCTTACCAGAGCCGATGGTAACTGGAGCCGCCACTTCAGAACAGGTTGGTGTTTGTACAGTCAGACCTGCCTGGCTTCGAATGCCACTCTGCTCCTTAACAGCTTGGCCATCTTTAGCAGTGTCCTTAATTAAGCCTCTGAATCCTTATCTGAAAATAGGTATCGTGACAATAAATGGTCTGTGGTAAAAGCACTGCCCCAAAACACCTGTGGCTTCATCAAAACCGAGTTCTGTTTTTCATCTTAACTCATTGGCATGGGCTTGTGTTGTGGCACAGCAAGTTAAGCTTCCAACGGCAACACCAGCGTTCTGTGTGAATGCCAGTTCAAGTCCCAGACTTTCCACTCCAATCCAGCTCCCTGCTAATGTGCCTGGGAAGGCAGCAGAAGGTGGCCCAAGTGCTTGGACACCTGCCACCCACGTGGGAAACCAGGTGGAGTTCCCGGCTCCTGGCTTCAGTCAGGCCCAGCTCCAATTGTGACCGTTTGGAGAGTGAACCAGCAGGTGGAAAATATCTCTCTGGCTCTGTCTCTGTAACTCTGCCTTTCAAAAAAACAAATGAAATAAAAAATAATCTTTAAAAAAATAAAACCCTCCTTTGCAGTCAGTTTTGCTTCTGGCAGGAAGCAAATGGCACAGTGGACAATTTCAGGAGCATTTATAAGGGACTTTTTTTTGACAGGCAGAATGGACAGTGAGAAAGAGAGAGAGAGACAGAGAGAAAGGTCTTCCTTTTGCCATTGGTTCACCCTTCAATGGCCGCTGCGGCTGGCACGCTGCGGCTGGCGCACCGCCCTGATCCGGTGGCAGGAGCCAGGTACTTATCCTGGTCTCCCATGGGGTGAAGGGCCCAAGCACTTGGGCCATCCTCCACTGCCTTCCCTGGCCACAGCAGAGAGCTGGCCTGGAAGAGGGGCAACCGGGACAGAATCCGGCGCCCCGACCGGGACTAGAACCTGGTGTGCCAGCGCCGCAAGGCGGAGGATTAGCATAGTGAGCTGTGGCGCCGGCCTATAAGGGAATTTTTTAATATTTATTTATTCATTTATTTGAAAGTCAGAGTTATACAAAGAGAGGCAGAGAGAGAAAGAGTGAGAGAGAAAGAGAGAGGTCTTCCATCTGGTTATTCAAACCCGATTGGCCGCAACGGCTGGAGCCATGCTGATCCGAAGCAGGAGGCAGGGGCTTCTTCTGGGTCTCCCACACGGGTGCAGGGGCCCAAGCACTTGGGCCATCTTCTACTGTTTCCCAGGCCACAGCAGGGAGCTGGATTGGAAGTGGAGCATCCTTCTTAAACCAGCAATCATATGCGATGCCTGTGCTCAGGCCAGGGCGTTAACCCACTGTGCCACAGGGCTGGCCCCAATAAGGGAATTATTTTACAAAGGCATCGACAAGATTCCCTCCCATCCCCCCCCCCCTTTTTTTTTTTTCAGAAAAGCTCAACACGGTTTCGGGAAGAATTTTGTGCCTGAAGGCTCAAGGGAAGAGGGCTGTCTGGAGGAGCCGTGGCTTTTCTAGGGGACATGGGCAAGCCATGGTGATGCAGCAGCAGGAGGAGAAAACACATCTGGAGCTCACTCTCTTCTTCCATTCAGTATCTTGCAGTCGATTTGGCTGAACCCAACAATACGATTCAGCCTCCCGGGCCCCCAGCAGGGTGAAGAGAGAAGTGTGTGTATGATGTTTGGCAAATAGAAACTAAGTAAATATTTAGAACCTGAGAAAACGATGATCAGATTAAGCCCCAAATCTGATTCATTGAGCTCGCCATTCCACCTAAGGAAGTAACTGCCCTCTGTATTTTCATCAGCTGCCCTTTAAATTGTCCCAGGATAATCCCCCAACTAGGGCACTGTTACACAGGATCTACCTGGGCTGCTGTCTCCTTCCTTCCCCTACCCTGATGCCCACCTCACTGTGAAAAGAAGTAGAAATGACTGTTAGGCACATGAGGGGAAAGCAGCCGAGCAGCTGGCCATTCCAAAGCACCTTCTCTGTGGAGTTCTGAGCCTAGGAACTTCAAAGAAGAGGTAGGCAGTGAGCAGGCCAGCTGTCAGGGGATGCCCAGGGTCTGCAAAGGAGCTGCTGTAAGGAGTACTTTGCAGGGCAGGTGTTTGGGGCTCTGTCCGGTATCAGATTACCTGGGTGCAAGTCCTTGCTGCACTCCAGCTTCCAGCTTCGTGTGAAAGCTGACCCTGGGAGGCAGCAGGCACTGGCTGAAGTTGTTGGGTCCCTGTGCCCATGTGGGAGAGCTGGTTTGAGCCCTCTCCCCCTTGCTACCATTTTGGGAGTGAACCAGCAGATCTCTGTATCTCTCTCTCTCTCTCCCCTTGCCTCTGGAACTAAAAAAAAAAAGAAAAGAAAAAGCAACAAATAATGTTCATGAGAAGATTGGCCCCACACAGAAATTCCAGTGCTTGTGTAGCAACTAGATGAAGTGGCTGAGTTCAGTATCCACATATATGTCATGCTGTTTCCAGAATGAAACAAAAAAATGAATTTCTGTGCCATATATTAGGGGGGAAGACTTCATGGATGGACGTGATTCTTTGCTTGATCTAGAGCAGAATTTCTCTTACGAGTCCTTGAACTTTTCCACTAATTGTTCATTGCCTTTCAGTTACAAACCCCACATGGAAAAGCTGGGCTTTAGAAAAAATTACTGAGTCACCCGTAATCAGTACACCCCAAGATAATGAGTAATTTCACTGTCTGAACTGAGTTTAGATCACTCACTTAAGGTGCCCACTTTAACAGATGTGACGAATCGCAGATAATTTAGCATCTGAGGCAAGACCATGGGTGCATCACTGGCTATTTTCTGTGGTCCCGTCCTGTCCCCTTGCCTCACAAGGAAAGTAACCTTGAAATGACCAAGTGCCTTTTTCTTTGTTTCTGGTTTTTTTTTTTGTTTTCTTTGGGTTTTGGTTTTTGCTTACGAACTTTGTAAAAAACACAGACTCTGTGCAGCCATCTCATTAACCCTCCAGAGCAGAACCAGAACCATCATTTGTATTTCCATGATGCTCCACAACACCTCATCTCTACAAAGCGTTCTGTCTCTACAAGTTATTTGACTGCCTGTGTTTGGGTCAGGTGGTGAGGGACAGCGAATCCCAACTGAGCAATGTGGTGTCCTTTCATGTGCTGCTGTGGTACAGAAGCAGGAAATGCTAAGGCAATGGGACCTGGTTTAAGGCAATAACTGTAGATACAGACAGAGTATGTGTGTATGGTCTGCTCCACTGGTTTCTGGTTTGTTTTTCAGACCTTCTCTGTCTGTAAAACTCAACTTACTCTGCTCAGCCAGTCAGAACATGTGTGCTATTTTATGGAATGACATGTTGCCTGACTCTAGGAAATAAAAAATAAAGCAAAGGTGGGAGTGGCCAACGGATAATACAGCCACTGGGATACCTGCATCCCAAATCCGAGTGCCTGAGATGGAGTCCCAACTCCTGCCTCCAGCTTCCTGCCTATGTGCTCTTTAGAGGCAGTAGGCGACGGCTCCAGTAGTTGGGTTCCTGCTATGGATGTGGGAGACCCAGACTACTTCTGCCCTGGCCTGAGACTACTGCAGGGATTCGGGGAACGAACCACCAGATAGGAGATGTGTGTGTGTGTGTAAAATAAAAAATGTATTTACAAATTTAAGTCAGTTAAGATCTTGAAACTAAATTGTTGTAATTTTTGTCCTTCAGCAAAGAATACCCATCAGGGATGACTGAGAAGTCTTCCTCTAGACAGTGTCAGTTATCACAAGTTCATTTTATTTTCATTAATTCTCAGTTAACATCGGAGATTCTTTTGCTTTTCTGAGAAAGCAGCTGAGAATGAAAGGGAGCAGTGGTGTGGAGGGACAGACTCCCAGGTGTTCCGGGATAGCTGTGATGGGTTCAAGCCTGTGGCTCTGCTTCTAGTTTCTGTTTACTGTTCAGGTGGGACAAGAGTGTTCCAATGTTTTCACTCTCAGTAGCCATTTAAGTAAGTACTTTCCTCAAGAGAGCAGTATCTTAATAGTGCCCTCATGGTTAACAGTACTGAGTCAGTATCAACTTCCTGACTTTAATATGTGTACTGTGGTATGTAAGATGTTAACTGTCGCTCCCCCTCTTCGTGGAGGAACGACACAGGACCCTGCGCTGTTCTTTCGTCTGCTCGGCCCTCCCCGGGTTTGCTGCTGGTTCTTCCCGGGTTGGCTACTATCCCTTCCACCTCCGTGGAAGGGCAGTTCCCCCTGGCCGCATTCCCCACTTCCGCAGGGGAGCGGCACACCGCCGGCCGGCTTTCTCGGGGGCTGCACGGGTTCCCTTAGATGTTCCCCATAGATGTTCCTGGTGCATGCCGTCTCTCTCCTCCTTTATAGTCCTCCTCCGCCAATCCTAACTCGGCTGCCCACACGCCGAGTACGCTGCTCTCCTCCAATCAGGAGCAAGTCCTACAGTTTATTAGTTGAACTGGAGGCAGCTGTGCGGAAGCTGTTTACTTCTCTCCCAGCGCCATATTGTGGGAGAGCAGATACATAGAATAAGTCTTAATTCCAGTAACTTAGTCCAGTCCGGATGCTCCCCACAGATCCCCCTTTCTTTTTATTTTTGGCGTTGATACGCGCCTGTCTTCGGTGTCCCGCGGCACACACTCTGCTCTACTTGCTAGAGTTGCCACAGGCTCTTACAAGTCCTATCAATCAGGAAAACCGAATCCGGGTCCTCTCTTCGCCATTGTGAGGAGGTTTTTAGGCGCTGATGCGTGCCTGTGTTCGGTGCCCTGCAGCGCATGCTCTGCTCTGCCCGCAGGGGCTTACAAAACCTATCAGGCAAACCGAATCCAAGCCTTCTCATTGCCGTATTGTGGGGGAGACTTATTAGTGTTGGTTTGTGCCTATCTTCGGTGACCTGCAGCTCATGCTTTGGTCGAGCTGCTTGCTGGCGCTTACCGCCTTAAATCAGGCAGACCGAATCCAAGCCTCCTAATTGTTATATCGTGGGGAAGCCTTACTGATGTTAATTCGTGCCTGTCTTTGGTGACCTGCGGCGCATAAGCTGCTAGCCGCCCAGGTGCTCATCGCCTCACTTAATCAGGCAGACCGAATCCAAGCTTTCTCATTGGCATGTTGAGGGGAGGCCTTTCTATTTCTCTATTTCTCTATCTCCGGGCATTCCTATTTCTCCCATTTTACTTCTATCTTCCAACATTCCTATTTCTCTCATCTTACTTCTAAACTTCTGTTTCTCTTATCCCTGCGGCTTCCCGGCTGCGCTCGCCCCGAGGCTGCTTCTCGGCACCTCGCCCCGCGGCAGCTTCACGGCTCTGCGCGGCTTCCCGGCGCCTCGCCCCGCCGGCGGGTTCCCGGCTCTGCGCGCACGCTCCGTGGTCTCCACGCACTTCGCGCCCGCACCACGGCCTCGCGCCAGCCCCGCGTTCTCTCTGCACGCGGCGGCTTCCGCGAATGTTTCCGCCACCACCGGCATTCAGTCCAAGTTCCCCGGACTAACCTGGCGAATCCTGGCGGCCCACGTCTCTGCCTCTGGTTCCAGATCTTCGCCTCTTGCTCCCCGGGGTGACTTGAAGAATTCCAAGATGGCTTGGCCTGCACTCGCGGCTTCATCCTCCCTAACATTTCTCTCTACCCGGTATGTTTCCTTAAGTTTTCTTCCAACAATATTCCTCTCATTTCTCCTGGCTACTCCCCACAGTCCATATCTGAGTCCAAGCCTCCTCCAGGTTTCACTTTCGCTTTCAATCTCCTAGCTTCCCCGCCATAGTCCGCATCCGAGTCTATGAAAGCTTTCACTTTCGCTTTCAATCCTAACTTTTTTCCCACAGTCCATATCCGAGTTTATGCCTAGGCTTTCAATAGCTTCTTCCGGCACCTAGGCTCTTTGCTAGTCTCTTTCTCCGGTATTTTCCTACTTCTTCCCGTTTCTTCCCTCCTAAGTTTGCTATCCGTCCTAGGTTTCCTATCCGAGTCATTTCTTCCAAGTTTCATATCCGTCCTAGGTTTCCTATCCGAGTCAGGTTTCCTATCCGAGCTAGGTTTCCTATCCGAGTCACGGCACCATTATGTCGCTCCCCCTCTTCGTGGAGGAGCAACACTAAGCCCTGCCTAGGCTTCATATCCGAGTCACGGCACCATTATGTCGCTCCCCCTCTTCGTGGAGGAACGACACAGGACCCTGCGCTGTTCTTTCGTCTGCTCGGCCCTCCCCGGGTTTGCTGCTGGTTCTTCCCGGGTTGGCTACTATCCCTTCCACCTCCGTGGAAGGGCAGTTCCCCCTGGCCGCATTCCCCACTTCCGCAGGGGAGCGGCACACCGCCGGCCGGCTTTCTCGGGGGCTGCACGGGTTCCCTTAGATGTTCCCCATAGATGTTCCTGGTGCATGCCGTCTCTCTCCTCCTTTATAGTCCTCCTCTGCCAATCCTAACTCGGCTGCCCACACGCCGAGTACGCTGCTCTCCTCCAATCAGGAGCAAGTCCTACAGTTTATTAGTTGAACTGGAGGCAGCTGTGCGGAAGCTGTTTACTTCTCTCCCAGCGCCATATTGTGGGAGAGCAGATACATAGAATAAGTCTTAATTCCAGTAACTTAGTCCAGTCCGGATGCTCCCCACAGTTAACGTAATGGGAAACAGAGTGAAAGTAGAGGGAACTCTACAATTTTTGTAATATTTGTGTAAATGTAAAATTATTTTAATATTTAAACGTTTTTACAAACCACAACAATCTCTTAGAATGATGAAATCACCATAGAGGATCTTTGGTCCTCTCTGTCCAACTTGTAGGTTTACTAAAACCTATTCCTCTCAATCCTTTCTCCTCTGTTGCCTCAAATATTCAGTCTTTACCGGGTGACTGAAAGCAGCATTATCTATGCCCGTGTGTCTGAAATTCCTTTAAATTCTTAATTATTTTTCTTGTCCCAGGTATCTGGACGCAGGCATGAGGTTTCTCCAGAAGAATCTGATATTATATCTGGTCTCAAGAGAAAGGACACTGGGGTCATGTCTCTGGAGGGGCCTCATCCTGTCTTTAAGGGAAGATTCCCCACATTCAGGGAGATTAAAGAGAAGGCATGGTGGGGCCGGCGCCCTGGCTCACTTGGTTAATCTTCTGCCTGTGGCGCCAGCATCCCATATGGGCACTGGGTTCTAGTCCCGGTTGCTCCTCTTCCAGTCCAGCTCTCTGCTGTGGCCCGGGAAGGCAGTGGAGGATGGCTCAGGTGCTTGGGCCCCTGCACCCACATGGGAGACCAGGAGGAAGCACCTGGCTCCTGGCTTTGGATCGGCGTAGCTCTGGCCGTGGCAGCCATTTGGGGGGTGAATCAATGGAAGAAAGACCTTTCTGTCTCTGTCTCTCACTGTCTAACTCTGTCAAATAAAAAAAAAGGGGGGGGGGAGGCATGCTTTTGAAAACAGCTTTGTCAGTATGCTGGTGTGCCTTCTCTTGGTTCAGTTCCCAGAACTTTGAACTGTGTAACTTACCCAGTTGTGTGGTTGCCAAGACTTTTTCCCTAGTTCCAGGTGATACTGGGAAGTTTGAGAGATTAAATCAGGTGCTGCCTCAGTTACTTTTGTAAATTTATTAGGTCAACAATAAGCATGGCCAGATGGCTGGGCCAAGTAACTCTTGCATCCAAAACAGGTTAAGGCACTGGGGTTCACAGGTATGTTATTTTCCAACTCTCTGACTAGTCACTGCTAGCTTCATCCATTCCTGGCAACAGTTCTGCCTCTACTTTGGAAAAGTAGGATGTCAGTCTTTGGGAAAATAGGCATGCCAGTTTCTTTGTATTTTGAAAAATAGATCATTTGCTGAATTGTTATCCAGAGTCCTATAATTGGGGTCCTGGAAATCTGCATAAGTTCATCAGACACAGACACAGGTCTTCTAACTCTTGTAATGTCGTATTCAAGGACAGCCCTCACTGCTAGTCCCTCTCTTTGCTATTTCGACCTGGTCAGTCATTATCCTATAATCTTGAGTCTATTGTTTACCTCAAGTGTATTGTTAAGCTCAGTTTTATCATTTGTAGGCAATAGCTATCATTGCAAAGTGCTGGGCCTGCATTATTTGCTTAGGAGTTGACTTTTGACAGGCAACTGGTATAACGTTTAAAAAGGACAATAAAGGGGCCAGCGTTGTGGCATAGTAGGCTAAGTCTCCACCTGTGGCGCCAGCATCCCATATGGGTGCTGGTTCGAGTCCTGCCTATTCCTCTTCTGACCTAGCTCTCTGCTGTGGCCTGGGAAAGCAGTAGAAGGTGGCCCAAGTGCTTGGGCCCCTGCATCTGGAGACCCAGAAGAAGCTCCTGGCTCCTGGCTTTGGATTGGCCCAGCTCCAGCCATTTTGGTCATTTGGGGAGTGAACCAGTAGATGGGAGACCTTTCTCTCTATCTCTCCTTCTCTCTCTGTAACTCTACCTCAAATAATAAATAAATGATTTCCTTTTGAAAAAGGAAAATACAGAACAAAATCAGTAGGAGCATAACAAGTCTAGTTTATTTAACAGTTTTTAACAAAGAACCTAAAGGTGACCCATTGATTGAATCAAATGACTGAGGCGATCTAGGTGAACTCTATCGTAACCACTAATGCTATTCCCTTATGTTGTGCAGTTGGGTATCAATTTCTCATATACAACACATAGAATTAACAGTAGCACATTTTCTTATTTATTTGTTTATTTTTCTATCCCAAAGAAACCTTTTATTTAAGGAATACAAATTTCATAAGTACAACTTTAGGAATATAGTTATTCTTCACACCATACCCGCCCTCCCATACCTCCTCCTCCTCCCTCTCCCATTCCCAGTCCCATTCTCCATTAAGATTCATTTTTAGTTAACTTTATACACAGAAAACCAACTCTATACTAAGTAAATATTTCAACAGTTTGCACACAAACACACACACACACACACACACAGAACAAGTTTTGCAGTTAAGTCTCATAAACCGACTCATTGAGGACAGAGGTCCTGCATGGGAAGTTAGTGCACAGTGACTCCTGTTGTTAATTTAAGAATTAACACTCTGATGTATGATGTCAGTGACCACCCAAGGCCCTATGGAAGCCTTTTAAGTCTACAAACTGTCATTATTTAGGCAGGGCCATATAGAAAGTGAAAGTTCTCTTCTCCTTTCAGAGAAAAGTACATCCTTCTTGATGGCCCCTTCTTTCCACTGGGGTCTCATTCACAGAGAGCCTTCATGTAGATCATTTTTTGCCACAGTGTCTTGGCTTTCCATGCCTGAAATGCTCTCATGAACCTTTCAGCCATATCTGAATGCGTTAAGGACTGATTCTGAGATCAGAGTGCTGTTTAGGGCATTTGTCATTCTATGAGTCTACTGTGTGGCCTGCTTCCCATGTTGGATCATCCTCTCCTTTTTATTCTATCTATTGTTATTACCAAATACTTGGTCTTATTTATCTGATCTCTTTGACACGTAATCCTATCTATATGATCAGTTACACATTTAATATGATCAATTTACCATGTAAGATGGCATTAGTACTGCCAATTCAATGGGATTTGGAGTCCCATGGCAAATTTTTAGCTTTACCCTTAGGGTTAATGTCGCTCCCCCTCTTTGCGGAGGAACGACACAGGACCCTGCGCTGTTCTTTTGTCTGCTCGGCCCTCCCCGGGTTTGCTGCTGGTTCTTCCCGGGTTGGCTACCGACCCTTCCACCTCCGTGGAAGGGCGGTTCCCCCTAGCCACTTTCCCCACTTCCGCGGGGGAGCGGCACACCGCCGGCCGGCTCTCTCAGGGGCTGCACAGGTGTTCCTTCAGATAGATGTTCCCCTTAGATGTTCCTGGTGCATGTTGTCTCTCTTCTCCTTTATAGTCCTCTTCCACCAATCCCAACTCTGCTACCCACATGCCGAGTACGCTGCTCTCCTCCGATCAGGAGCAGCTCCTACTGTTTATTGGTTGAACTGGAGGCAGCTGTGTAGAAGCTGTTTCCTCCTCTCCCAGCGCCATATTGTGGGAGAGCAGATGCATAGAATAAGTCTTAATTCCAGTAACTTAGTCTAGTCTGAGTTGCTCCCAGTTGCTCCCCACAGGTTAAGTCCATGGGAGTATGTGCTGAACTGTACATCTCCTCCCTCTCTTATTCCCACTCTTACCATTTACTTGGATCTATTTTCTTTTTTTTTAAGATTTATTTATTTACTTGAAAATCAGAGTTGCACACAGAGAGAAGGAGAGGCAGAGAGAGAGTATTCCATCTGATGATTCACTCCCCAGTTGGCTGCAATGGCTGGAGCTGTGCCGATCTGAACCCAGGAGCCAGGAGCTTCCTCTGGGTCTCCCACATGGGTGTAGGGGCCCAAGCACTTGGGCCATTTCTACTGCTTTCTCAGGCCATAGCAGAGAGCTGGATAGGAAGTGGAGCAGCTGCCAGCGCCGCGGCTCACTAGGCTAATCCTCCGCCTTGTGGCACCGGCGCACCGGGTTCTAGTCCTGGTCGGGGTGCTGGATTCTGTCCCGGTTGCCCCTCTTCCAGGCCAGCTCTCTGCTGTGGCCAGGGAGTGCAGTGGAGGATGGCCCAAGTGCTTGGGCCCTGCACCCCATGGGAGACCAGGAGAAGCACCTGGCTCCTGCCTTCGGATCAGCACGGTGCGCCGGCCACAGCGCACTGGCCGTGGTGGCCATTGGAGGGTGAACCAATGGCAAAAGGAAGACCTTTCTCTCTGTCTCTCTCTCTCTCACTGTCCACTCTGCCTTTAGAAAAAAAAAAAAAAGGAAGTGGAGAAGCTTGGACTCGAATTGGTACCCATATGCGATGCCTGCACTACGGGCGATAGCTTTACCCACTACACCACAGCACCAGCCCCTGGAATCTATTTTCAATTGAATTTAAACACCTATGAATAATTCTGTGTTTAGTAAGGAGTTCAACCAATCATATTACGTAGAAAAAGAAAATAGTAAAGAAAAAAAAAGATAATACACTGTTCCTCGACAGTAAAGACAAGCGCTACTCAAGTCATTGCTTCTCATAGTGTCAATTTCACTTCTACAGGCTTCCTTTTAAGGTGCTCTGTTAGTTTTCAGAGATCAGGGAGAACATATGATATTTGTCCCTTTGGGACTGGCTTATTTCACTAAGTATGATGTTTTCCAGATTCATCCATTTTGTTGCAAATGTCTGGATTTCACTTTTTTTTTTACTGCTGTGTAGTATTCCATAGGGTACATATCCCATAATTTTTTTATCCAGTCTTCTGTTGATGGGCATTTAGGTTGATTCCATGTCTTGGCTGTTGTGAGTTGAGCTACAGTAAACATGTAGGTGCAGATAGCTCTTTTATTTTCATATTCATTTCCATTGTGTACATTTCGAGGAGTAGATGGCTGGATTGTATGGTACGTCTATATTCAGATTTCTGAGGTATCTCCGTACTGTCTTCCTTAGTGTCTTTACCAGTTTGCATTCCCACCAACAGTGAATTAGGCTACCTTTTTTTTAATTTTTATTTTTTAATTAAATTTTTTTTGACAGGTAGAGTGGACAGTGAGAGAGACAGAGAGAAAGGTCTTCCTTTGCCGTTGGTTCACCCTCCAATGACCGCTGCGGCCAGCGCACTGCAGCCGGCGCACTGCACTGATCCGAAGGCAGGAGCCAGGTGCTTCTCCTGGTCTCCCATGGGGTGCAGGGCCCAAGCACTTGGGCCATCCTCCACTGCACTCCCTGGCCACAGCAGAGAGCTGGCCTGGAAGAGGGGCAACCGGGACAGAATCCGGCGCCCCGACCGGGACTAGAACCCGGTGTGCCAGTGCCACAAGGTGGAGGATTAGCCTAGTGAGCCACGGTGCCGGCCACAATTTGTTCTTAAAAACCCTCTTTAACTCTTTTTCTGTTTTTTTTTTTTTCTCAAATGAGTTTAGGGGTCAACATTCTTCCATGTTCATGGATTGGAAGAATCAATATCATCAAAATGTCCATTCTCCCAAAAGCAATTTATACATTCAATGCAGTACCAATCAAGATACCGAAGACCTTCTTCTCAGATCTGGAAAAAATGATGCTGAAATTCATATGGAGACACAGGAGACTTCGAATAGCTAAAGCAATCATGTACAACAAAAACAAAGCCGGAAGCATCACAATACCGGATTTCAAGACATACTACAGGGCAGTTGTTATCAAAACAGCATGGTACTGGTACAGAAACAGACGGATACACCAATGGAACAGAATTGAAACACCAGAAATCAATCCAAACATCTACAGCCAACTCATATTTGATCAAGGATCCAAAACCAATCCCTGGAGTAAGGACAGTCTATTCAATAAATGGTGCTGGGAAAATTGGATTTCCACGTGCAGAATCATGAAGCAAGACCCTTACCTTTCACCTTACACAAAAATTCACTCAACATGGATTAAAGACTTAAATCTATGACCTGACACCATCAAATTACTAGAGAGCATTGGAAAAACCCTGCAAGATATAGGTACTGGCAAAGACTTCTTGGAAAATACACCAGAAGCACAGGCAGTCAAAACCAAAATTAACACTTGGGATTGCATCAAATTGAGAAGTTTCTGTACTTCAAAAGAAACAGTCAGGAAAGTGAAGAGGCAACCGACAGAATGGGAAAAAATATTTGCAAACTATGCAACAGATAAAGGGTTGATAACCAGAATCTACAAAGAAATCAAGAAACTCCACAACATCAAAACAAACAACCCACTTAAGAGATGGACCAAGGACCTCAATAGACATTTTTCAAAAGAGGAAATCCAAATGGCCAACAGACACATGAAAAAATGTTCAAGATCACTAGCAATCAGGGAAATGCAAATCAAAACCACAATGAGGTTTCACCTCACCCCTGTTAGAATGGCTCACATTCAGAAATCTACCAACAATAGATGCTGGAGAGGATGTGGGGGAAAAAGGGACACTAACCCACTGTTTGTGGGAATGCAAACTGGTTAAGCCACTATGGAAGTCAATCTGGAGATTCCTCAGAAACCTGAATATAACCCTACCATTCAACCCAGCCATCCCACTCCTTGGAATTTACCCAAAGGAAATTAAGGCAAACAAAAAAGCTGTCTGCACATTAATGTTTATTGCAGCTCAATTCACAATAGCTAAGACCTGGAACCAACCCAAATGCCCATCAACAGTAGACTGGATAAAGAAATTATGGGACATGTACTCTATTGAATACTATACAGCAGTCAAAAACAACGAAACCCAGTCATTTGCAACAAGATGGAGGAATTTGGAAAACATCATGCTGAGTGAATTAAGCCAGTCCCAAAGGGACAAATATCATATGTTCTCCCGGATTGGCGACAACTAACTGAGCACCAAAGGGGAAACTTGTTGAAGTGAAATGGACACTGTGAGAAACAGTGACTTGATCAGCTCTTGTCCTGACGGTTGATGTACAATGTAATACTTTATCCATTTTAGTATTTTTTTTGTTCTAGTACCATTGGTTGAACTCTGTAATTAATACACAATTGTTCTTAGGTGTTTAAATTTTAACTGAAAAGTGATCCCTGTTAGGAATTTGGAAAACATTATGCTGAGTGAAATAAGCCAATCCCAAAGGGACAAATACCACTTGTTCTCCTTGATAGGTGACAACTAACTGAGCACCAAAAAGGAAACCTGTTGAAGTGAAATGAACACTATGAGAAACGGTGACTTGATCAGCCCTTGCCCTGACTGTTGATGAACAACTTAATACATTATCCCTCGTAGCATTTTTTTTGTTTGTTCTACTTAATACTTTTGGTTGAATACTGTAATCAATACACAGTTATTCTTAAGTGTTGAAACTTAACTGAAAAGTGATCGCTGTTAAATATAAGAGTGGGAATAAGAGAGGGAAGAGATGTGCAATTCGGGACATGCTCAAGCTGACTTACCTCAAACGGCAGAGTTAGAAACATACCAGGGGATTCCAATTCAATCCCATCAAGGTGGCATGTACCAATGCCATCTCACTAGTCCCAGTGATCAA